CGCAATTAATAAGAGGTCGCGAGGTAAATAATGTACGGCGCGGTGCCTGTCTAGGACAATTTATAGCGATCGGACGACATTTGCGGTACATTGAGCGTTTTCCAGGCAGTTGGAGCGAGTAAAACGTTTGCGTCGCTTATCGCGAGGTAATTGTCCGCGGAGGAACGATCGGCGAAAAGTGTTTATCGACAGGCAAACGGATGTCGTCGGGTGCCGCCGATTAATCCGACAAATTAATGAGCCGCCGTACGCGTTTTAAACCAATTCAACGGGGCATTATGTCGCCCTCTACGCCGCCGACAACAGTAATGATCATTATTAATAACGGTGCTCACGGGGAGTCTTAGCCGCCGTTTTTTCACATTCATCGTATCACGGACACCCAGATTACCCTAAGCATCTCGACGTCCCGATGATCACGTACGGACCATAAAACGGAGCGCGCACAATAAACACGATTTCGGTGGACAGTCGTACACATTAATGCGTCGTCATACATGTCCGTTTATCCTTTCCGTTTCTAGTGTACACCTGAGAGCCCTTTCCACTGATGCGAACACGTACGGAACAAGAACACCGCCGAAAATTCCGATTACCATAAACTGGAGATTAAGAGAAGCGCTGAATATCATCTCCGCTGCTGTTATTATTATGCTTAGGCACATAACACACACGTACGCGACGTTTACGGTCGGCATTTTTTATTTCTCCTCATTGATATGTTACACTCGGCAATGGATTTTTTTGCGTTAAAAATGCAGCGGACCTGTGAAACTCGGAAACGCGCCGTCGCGGTTCGTCTGGTGATAAAAACGAGTCGCGTCAATTAGTCGGTTTTCGTGTCAGCAAATTGCATTGTGTCGCAGAAACGTCATCGTTTATCAACTGTGTTAAGCAGTTCGACAGTTGTCGATTGAATTCTAGAACGTTATGAACTACTGAAATTTCACGGCTATCAGCAAAACAACGATTGTTTTCAAATTTTCCAGCGCTCACGTTAATCTGAAATACTGTCATTGCAGACGATATGAGTGGTATTAATGTCAAAACGATCACTTTAAACGTTAATCTAAATAATTAATACTTGGTATAGTGGTGTGTGCAAAACAATGCATTGTCATCAATAGCAAATTACAACAGTCTGTTATTTATTACGACAACAACAATTTATTGTTGTTAAAAACTATTATGTGTTTAAAGACAAATAATGGATTTTTATAAAATCGATTAACGTTAAGATTCGTTTTCTCAGTTTGATATAAAAATGAACTCGAGTCGTCCGTTGATGATTACCACCAGAAAAATCATTATTTTACATTGATCAAAACTGTATAATTAATGAATTTCAAATAATTTTCAGGATACAGCGATGTAATGTCTTGTTTGCAATGCAAATTATTGTCGAAATTTAATTCGCAAGGTACTCCAGATTGTGATCTGTACATGAATATTGCATACGCATCAGGGACAACGGTATGATGACATTATCAAAGGTATACTCGTAATATTGCAATTTATGCTTATGCAAGCGCGTTAATTTGAATACATAAATGACAAACGAGCTGTTCCTTTGGGTTCTTTGTGGGGCACGGAGATTAGTTTCAAAAATACCATACCGTGTGCAACTAAAAGGTTCATAAATAATGTGGTAAATTGATGTTTCTCGCTCCGAGTAGTAGGCAATCCTCAGAAAATATCAAATAATTAATAAGCGCAATAAAAATTCAAGTATAAACGGTTCTTCTGACCAATTATTCTTAGAGTTATCCCCACCCGAGCAATAGTTTCACACCAAGCGCCAGTCCAGTTTATACTTATTAAACTGAAACAAAATGTTTGTAATTCAAATTATTTATCTTAAATAAGTCACTTTGACACTGGATATGTTTGTGCGGATATCGACCGATTGTGAATTGAATTTTCGAAAATATTCCGTTGTTAGATTAAAAAATTCAAATGGAAATTTTATAAATATAATCACGAACCTGTCGTTCCGTTTTTTTGCTTTATATGTTCATAATAATATTATATGAAGTAGACATTTTCGCTCTCAATAAGGACTGTACACGGTTTGATAATTTTTTCCTTTATTAAAAAATTTACCGGCGTAGTATTCGCAATATCGCTTGGCGTATTTTTTTATATGAGTTATCAACGGCGTAGGTTTTATTTACATCGCGGAGTCATCATTTTTCCATGTGTACGGAAATAAGAGATTTGAATTTTTTTATGGAATTATCAGGGGTGGCTACAATACAACAATATGTAAATTGCTGGTACCAGTACATTAAATCAGCGTGTCACTGCTGCCGCTCCTCAAATGAATGTTATTAACGGACTCGACATGGGAACAGTGTGAAAAAAAAAACACTTATAGATTTGTGTGTTTAAGCATGGAAAATGCCCGAGTTTGTGTGTATTCGAAAAAAACAAGGTTAGTTCATAAATAAGAATAAAATAGCAACGACTATTGGGAAACACGAGGCTCGAGTGCGTAGGCATTTCTACAAGACACATTCATAAATTGTGCCCTACCGAGTGTGTACCGTATTGTATATAATATACTTGTAAGTGTGCGTAGATGCTGTGACTTGATACATCGCAAACGTTCGAGGAGACACATGAAGATATTACGTCGTTTTTCCTGGTAGATAAGACGTGGTCACGACGGCCGTTCGAGTATACTGCACTTTTAGAAGGTACGAAACAAATCGCTTTTTCCCAAAATAAATACACCGAAGTCATACGGCGAGGATGTGCTGAGTAAGAAGTGAGACGAGCGCAATTAATTTTTTTATAGCCACCTAAATGTAAGTCTTGAGGTTTTCGTTTCCACTCGCCCGGACCATTAACATGCGAGTTAATAGGTGTTTTAGCCTGTCGTTTAGATAAATGCATTCTATTCTGGTTGTGGCAGATATTACAACGAGATATGACAAATATTAAAAAACAAATCTCTAGGCTTGCGTATTAGAAATGACTTACTAGACGTGTGCCAACAGAGACTTTTGCTAGTCATATCAATCATAATACTCGGCCTATTGGCCCTAATCCAGTGAGAAGGCATAACGTGCCGGTATCGAGTGACTCCAAAGCGCACCTATACAAGACGTCCTAAGCAGTAGAATCATATCGTATTGTACTCGTTTGCGTTTCTCGCTTAGCTTGTAGCCCACGACGGTTTTTCATAAAAAAAAACAATAAACTTCCAACACGAAAGCGCTATGTCTGTTCCTGTTTTCTTGGCATTATCATAACCGTCAGATTACATGAATCTAATTGCAAGTCAAACATCATAAATCTTCCAGGAGTTAGCCAAATGAAAATTATTTGTTCTAATGTCCAACAAATTTAAGTGTGTTTGGTCGGTGTAAAAAAGTGTTATTTTCTAATGAAACTAAAACACGCGAATAGTTACGATATAATGTTGTGTATTTTATTATACTTTAATAGCGTACGGTCACATGATTTAGCTCCGACTTATAACACCAGCCGTTCTGGTATAATTTATACAATTAAAGTGTCGTTTTATAATCAAAATTAAATAAAACAAATAATCAAGCTTTTAAATTTAATTAAAAACAATTCGTGCATGTAGTCGACGGTAATTATTGAAAAACAAACAGGATTTTTTTAACGATCGAGTGTCTGGCGACATTTAAAGAAGTCACATACGACATTGAATGTCATTATTACATGTTTGTAATAATGTGTCCAAGGCGTTACATATCTTATCTATTCCTCATTTCATTTGTTAGCGTTTCTAATTTATCGAAAATTCTAATCAGCTTACATTTAAATAGTTCATCGCTGCATTAAAAATCAAATATGTAAAATGTATGAACAAGTATAGATTTTTTTGTAATATTTAAGAGAAAATAAAACGATTTATATTGAAGAGTCGATATTGTGATACAATCGAAGTTTCACTTTTTTCTTTATCATCTGCAGGAACCGGAGGCTCCTAGTATATCACATGACTGAACAACGGATCATGGCGCATCTTCAGTTAATTATGGTGAAACTGTTTAATCGAGAAATTTGTGGGGTTTCTAATGTCATTGAGCTATCAATTACTTGAATTTTTAGTCGAAAAGCCTAAGAAATAAGTACATTATTCTTGCGTGCGACAGAAGTTCATTGTTTGTGCTAATAAAGTACAAATAAATTTATATAACGATGGTTTTAACGGGATAATTAAAAAAAAAAAGTCATTTTTTCTTGAACAAACGTATCAGAAAATGTAATGGTGACGGCAAGTGTAATGCGTAAAAAATAGTCATCGTGAAATTAAGCTTTTAATGAGTTTTAAGTATAAAAGCTGAAACATGTCAAAAATACTTTATAATTAAAAAAGTTACACACACCAAAAAAATTCAAAATCGTTAAAGTCAATCTCAATGGTAGTGTTATTAACTTTTTGATCCTGTCAAAGTGGAAAAACTTTTTATTTCTCTTATTCGATTTATTTGTTTTTTTAATAACTAACTATTGAATTTTAAAGTTTTTAATCGGATATCAGGTTAATTTTTCCAAAATTTCGTGTACAATATAGAATTTATATTTAAATATTTTACAAGTAATTCCACCCTCGCATTATGTTGATTACAATAAAAAAAATACCAAAGGGGTCCTATAAAGTAGGACGTGTTTGTATACGTGATTGATGTGCAACCGAATCTATGGCCATGACAACGGAAAACCAGTTCTGTCGTGATAATAGTACTTAAAGTATACCCTGTACGGAAGGGGTCACTGATCCAGTGAAAACAATAGGTTCGATCTACTCGATGGTCTATATCGGGACAATTCAAAGGTTCATAAAACTCCGATACTGCAGTAACCATATAGCCCACCTACGTTTACTTTGGTTGTTAACTGACGGGGCTGATGGACTCGACGGTAAGGTATGGGGTGTACAAGATAATTTCAAAGTGTTTCTCTTCGGGGTTCCGAAGAATAACGACTTTGAGTCTAGCGACTTTGCAATAAGTACTTACAGTCGTTCGATGTTGTGTGGAAGATTCCTGGGCACTTCATCCAGTCCTTTCTTGGCGCAATCAGCCGTTGTCTGGTCACAAGAACACAGCCATGGGCATCTGACATCGTCGATCAAGTCGTTGAGGTCGTTTCCCCGGGCACCGTGGCCCAGGGCCACGATAAGTAGGCATAAAATGCCGAACACTTTCATGTCGGCGAACTTTTTGCTGGAAAGGTTTGTTTTGGCACTCTTGCACCGGACAACAGTAAGAACACTCAATGAGTAAACGATACTTAGTATAAGAAACCACTGATTGGATAATTCAGCACTGGGACCACGACTAGGGTCCAGTTATCACGGCGACGTTTGCCCGCATTTTCGCACCTCCCGACGTACTTGCTGCACGTGAACGGTTTATATGCACAACGTGTACGAAAAACGATGTATTTCGATACCGAAAATTAATCCAATGGGAACCAAAGGGATGTACGAACGTACACTAGTGCGAGTCTCGCGTGGTGAACTGGACTCGACGGCAGGCGGATAGGGTCGCCGGCGAGGCCGACGCGCAACGACCTCTGACGGTGTATTACTAAATTTCTATACCGCAACACATCGACGTGCATTGCCGACATACGATTTCCGGATCTTCTCGTTTTCCATCTGAAAGGTTCTCTTCTCATTACAAACTCTCTCTTACATCACAGACGTGGGATTATTTTGGACGATTTTCGTAAAAAATAATTTTTTTCTCTGCCCACCGGTTGCGGTCGATTAAGTAATTTCGATCATTTATTTGACGTTAATTCTTATTGTTGTTCGTTTACCAAATCTTATGCAGATCAACATGTGTCAAAATCATATTTCTACTTATAACTTTTATTATGAAAAATGCTTATTGAGCTTGATGAGGAACAAAAAATACTATATTTAAAACTAAGTAGAATATTCTTTTGAACAGGAAACCGTATCAGAATTATTAATTTTACTTTTGTCACTGTAATTACCATAATGATAATAATTATGACACGCTAATGGTACATGATTCAGGCAGGAAAAACATATGATTTTTAAAAAAGGTAGTTTAAGTACACGTGTAAGTCACATCGTGGTAACAGCAGTTAATAGTACAAACAGTGTTCGTTATTTTTCATAAATGCTTTCATTTTTTACACCAATCTTTAAAATAAACTAATAAAGGGTGACTTATTTGTTACTTAATGCTGTGATGAACTAGTATTACATGTAATTTTCTTTAGTTTTAATAATGCTTTAGAAAAGTGGACGCTTGTATGTAGTTGAACGTCATCCAAAAAACATATAACTGTTGATTAACGACCGAGGTTAAGTACAATGTATATGTCTAACTAGCATATTATAATATCTTAGTTGGCTCATTAAAAATTATACTTACAAGTATATAATGAAAATATTATGTTTTATCATTATTATTCTTTATTTAATATCTAATTTTTCATAACTGTTGTTAATTTTTTTTATAACGAATTGATTCTTACGAATTGATAATTGATACTTTAATAACACTTGTGTCGTCAATATTTAATAGTTCTAAAACTAAACGACTAATTAAAAATATAACATATTGTTTGAAGAAAACGTAACGCGTTGTACGAAGACAAATGTATATATAACAAACAAACACATATTTGACTTATTTTATTTTATTTCAATTATTAAATAAACAAGTAAAATATAGATGCCATATATAAGAAAGTATTGGTAAGTAATTTCTATCAGCAATTATCTGAAAATACATAAACTATCAGTGTAATATCTAAGCCCTCAATTAGCCGTGTTAAATTAACATTTTAAGAAAATATCACCAACAAAAAAGTCACTGGAATATTTTTTTGATTTAACCCGCCATTATTAAAAAATCCTAAGCAATATATATAATTTAAATATTTATATGGAAAAATAGAAAATAGAGTTTGCTTTTAGAAAGAATAGTGTGCTTGGAAATCTCTATAACTACTTTTAAATTAACTCAATGTTTTTACAGTACTACTTTACGATTTCAGTGAAGTTCAATATATGATAAAAAATATCAAATACTTGTAACTAATGCTATAAAATGCACAAATAATATTCTTTTGTCATAAAGTATTTTAATGATAACCTTTTATTTAAGTTATTATACTGTACAATGCAATATACTGATAGTTCATTTAATTAAAAAAAAAAATGACGAATAGAGTATTAAAATATTTAACAATCTCCTTTTAAATAATAAAGATTATTACTGAATGAATTTTTCCATAAAAAAAAAAAAAGAGTTTTTAATTTGAGTTTCTTTTCAATTATAAAAATAAAATAGTAGTCTGTTAGAATATTTGTGTTAGATTATTGTGAAGATGGTATAATTTTTAACCTATACTTGTGGTTTACACGAGATCTTGGCGACCACAATATAAGTTCTCTTTAGATTTTGTTTAGGGGTAGAAACGGAAGTTATTTGCCACCAGAAAGGTCTACAGAATTATTACACAATAGTCATTCTAAAGATTTTCAAATTTACTCTCTATTTCAACACTCATACAAGATGTTCACGAAATAATGTAAAATAATTCGTCTTTTATTATGAAACAAAACTGTTAAATTTTTTTTAGAACTTACGAATTTTACCGTTCTTGCTCCTTTTTAATTTTAGAGAGAACTTTGTTGATATTACGTTAGTGTTTTTAGACGAAACGTATACACCTTCGTTTGCGAGCACTGTATATATTTTTTCAATTGAATATTAAAATCGAAAAATGTCACTATTCTAACGATTAACATTTACTTGATATTTAGTGGTAAATTATATTTGTATGTGTTTAGAACGAACAAGAAGTGTACTCTCTTGCACTAAGATTCATCGTAAAAGAGCAAAATACCAATTGTAAATAGTCAATCGTTTGAGCTCCGGATGCACACCACTTGTTGAGGATTCAATTCTTCTGATCTAACGCATCGTCTTATTGTGCCATACACCTCAGTGATTACAAACAACGAGCAATAAGAGAGAAATTAGTGGCTATTTGCGTTTCAACATTGTGTTTTTGAAGCGCAAAAAGTGGCGATAGCAGATACGTGATGGCTGTAGAATGAGAGAGAATAAAAAATAAGTACACCCTCAGGCTAAAATAAGGTCTCCAGCGATTCTTCCACATGCAACTCTACTCATCGGACGAATCGTTTAAACACAATATCTCGTCGTTTTGTTCGCACTCGGTACACATCGGAACAAACACACAGACCGGCGGGTGGGTCTGTTCGTCTTATACTCTTTTGTACTCATCCTGTAACTTCTATCTTTATCTTGAATTCCCATAACAGAATCTATAGCCCTGGGCACAGTCCTTTGCAAACATGCGTTGCATTCGAAATTAAAAGCTTCTGATGTACACAGTCATTTTTAAGTACTTACCTATGATAAATAAAAAATAGTAAATACACGATTTTCTAAAATTTGATTTATCGTATAGTTTTGAGCACACTTGATGCTTTTGGTTACATCAGAATACCGAGAATTCTGTTGTTCTCATTAAAAAAAACACATATAAAATATTTTTAGTCAACATACTTAGTAGATGCACATAGTTTAGACCTTAATTAATTAAAAAAACCAAACATTATAAGCTCAATATGCTTATGTTGTTAAATAATGGGGCCAATCTTAAAGCCGTGTTTACATACAGTTTTATTAATAATATAAGATAGATAATACTTAAATTTTTTTTAAATTATGTAGCACACAATGTTATTCCCAATCTATTAAACATAGAAAAACATTAATTTCAAAATAGATTATTTTATATAGTGCAATTATGTAATATAAATTTAAGAATACATTTACGTTATAATAATATAATTACTAACTAGAATTCCGATAGGATTTCATACTTTATATTATTTAATAACTTAAGAGACTTAAAGTTAGGTTATATGTGATTGTACGGTAAATTATATACAATGCAGTTTTGTATAATCCTAGTCATATGACTGGAAACATATAAATACCAAATATTATAAAACCCATTTGCTACTTATTTTTTTATTATACATAGTTGTTGTAAAGTATATGGATAATTTTTATTTAATATTCTTGAATATTTAAGGTGATTCCAATGTGTGTTCAGCTTAAGGTAATCTTCGAATGTTTTAAAGTTACAAATATAATGTTAATTTATAAATTACAGTAATTCATCCCTAAATAATTAAAAATAAATACAGCCATGTAAATGTAGTAAATCAGATTATAAATGTACCGTTTACATATTATAAAAAATCATAGACAGTTTATTATATGTGAGTAACACCATATACAATCATGGAATGTGTCCAAATATGAATATTTATTAAACGTATTTTTATCTGACTACCATAATGAGATATTACATATATTTAATATCGTAGTATGCAAACATATCTAAATAAATAATAATAATTATAATATTTAAAAGATGTCTATTAATATCGATCAAATTTTTTTTAGATGATGTAGAAATTGTATGTTTTAATATTGTATTGGAAAATACCCTGAATGCTATAAATTTGTCTTAGCAGTCGCCCTTAGAGTGCTTGTTAAGGCTTGTCCACTAGTATATATTAATACACAAGTGTGTATTCCAATAACGGACTCGTAAAAGCAAATAGCCGGTGGTAACAGGATATACCTCTACTCCACCTCCCCTAATATTTTCCCCTTTTGGTTTACAGACCATTGACGGTCAGTATACAGAAAACCTTTAGTGGGCGATGCTCTCAATAAAATATTGTATATTTTAGACAATTTATTTTTATTGCTTGCAAAAACTATACCGTTTCGAGAGTACGAAAATAATTTGCTTTACTTTTTTGAAATGTTCACATTTTTACATTATTGAAAAGTACATGACATCAATATTATTAAAGCAGACATTTTCTATGGTTTAGCAATAGTCTTATTATCGCTAATTTCTAGATATTTACAATAATACATCTTGATTTTTTCTTTTGTTTATTATCTGGACATAGATTATGTGACATTCTAAAAAGCTTTTTTATCAATATTCAGATTTCTTAATTGTAGTAAAATATTTACACATCCGTCCATTTATGTTAATTCAATGATAAATAATATAACGGGGATCTATTTGATAAATTATCACATTGGATGTTTTGATTACGAAAATATATTAATATAAATATTATACACGTCATCATATAATATAATATAAACTTTTGATAATATTAGCTACAGTGCGAATCTGAGAAGTCATTTAATAATCAAGTTAATTTGTAAAAGATTCTACAAAATATTTTTTCACAATTGGACAAATTTTATTGTGCTTTACAGTGTTTCACATTGCTATTGTAAATACTACCTTGGAAGGAGGCTAAGAGGAGAAATAATAGTCAATAAATTTTATTAATGTCATAAAGAGGTCATTTGTAGAATGACAACTACAGCAACATTCCCAAGACATTAGTTATATTTGTTGTAGTACCTCAGTAAAATATTTAAACTGATAACTAATAATTATTACAATA